AAAGACTACACTTTCTTAAAGGCAAGTTTCAACCTAAATTGATATGACAACATCATTAAGGGTCGGTAATAATTTCTTAAATTCAGGAAGTTGATTCGACCATAGCGGAGTGGGGTGAGACCCGGAATGGGGACTTCGGCTGAAATCATTGCTTTTAGACCCTAATCTTTCTTAACGCCTCAGCATATTTCAATCGAAATTTTGACTGAAAAAGCAATAAGGATGGGCAATCATTTCATCGATTCAGAATGTTGATTTGACTATTGTGGACAGGGTTGGAGGGAGGCGAATGAGGAATTCAGCCGAAATTTTGGTTTTAAATCCTACGCTTCCCCAACACCTCAGCAAATTTCTACTAAATTTGGTCTGAAACTTCATAGGGGGTTGGTTATCATTTCTTCAATTCAGAAAGTTATTTGAACCCAGCACTTCTTACGTAGCTATCACGGTTTAAATCCTTTATCTAGGTAAATATAGGCGTAAAGATGGTCTAACGTCTTACTCTGTTTACAATCAGATCATTGACAAAGAAGAACAGAATGTGTTCCATTTCATCGAACACACACATGTGACTATCTTTCAAATTTTAAAACCATAACGCTCTCATGATGAGAACAATTGTGTTCTTAATGTCTAGTAGACGTCTAACTTACTACAATAGAATCGGCACAGTTCTATTAAAAACAAAAGTCAGATAGTAAAAAAAGAAAAAAGAAAATTAGAACTCAAAGTAGCTGAAGCTAGACTATAACATTAACAATGACAGATTAACATGGAGACTCATAGATAAGTACGAAGAGAATATATCCTTATGTTCTTCCGGAACACTTCATTTTTTTTTCTCTTAGTAAGTTTTCAGGAGTCTCCTTGTAAATCTTTCTTTTGGTCATATGTAGCTCTAGTATCATCGAATTCGCGTTTGGATTATGAATTCGTAAATAAGTATTTACAACGTCATCAAGCCTTACAGGTGAAACAGACTTCCTGGCACAACACTCTAGAAATCAATTAGACAGTTTTTGTCTGGGCGAACGTTAAACTTCTTCATACTCCCTCATATTGTCATTATTCACCTAAATGTAACAGAGGTCGTTATTTATTTCAATGTCTCCACCAGGAATCGAACCCGGGACCCCTGGCTTACTGGTCTGGCGCTCAACCGATCGAGCAGTTCTCTCTAGCCGAGTGGTATATTGCGGCTAATATTTACTGGGGTTACATAAAGAAATATGGTTAAATGTCTTTGACTTTTACTTTTGGTTACTGAAATTTAGCGGAAATATTTTATTCCGTTTTATAGAAATGAATCGTTGCAAGGTCTGCAGAAAAGGAAAAGGAAGAAGAGGAAGAGGAAGAGGTACAAAGAAATTCTACTGCAAACCTCAGAATTGAGACCGTCCAGAGTTCCACCTGAACGATGCATTGTCCCTGGACCATGATTTCTGCTATATCATATATATATATTATTAACCTTTTTTATTTATCAAATAATAACTTTCAAATATATTTTCCGGAAAAAATAAACACGACACAATCAGGATCTTCACTGTCTATCAACCAACACTCCAGAATGTTCACACATGTAAACTGATAACTCCAATATAGACACGCGGCGTCGACACACCGATTCTCTCAAAGGACGACCTAAACATACTTCATAACACAGTCTCAGACGACGACAGACGAAGACACTCTCAGGCAACGACAGACACAGACTCCAGTATAGACACGCAGGCGTCAACACAAAGACTTTCTTAGGTGACAACCTAAACAAACTTCATTACAGATGCTCTGAAGACGACAGATACAGACTCCAATATAGTCTCGCAGGCGTCAACACAGTCTTTCTCAGGTGACGACCTAAACAAACTTCATTACAGAGTCTCAGACACGACCGACAAAGACACTCTCAGGCAACGACAGACACAGACTCCAATATATACAGTCTCAGTAATACATTGCATAACCTAACCTACCGTATACTCATTCTATTATCTGTCATGCAACGTACGAACTGCTAAATTGTAGTGAAACCTTTTTAAGGACTATCAGAAAATTAAAGATCCAAACAGCAAAATAAATCGACAAAAATCGAAATATACAAATAAAAAAACCAACAACAACAACATTGTCAGTGCAAGAAAATCTCAGTCGATATTTGGAGTTTTATTTTGGAAAAATAATAAAATACATTCACTATTGAATATATTTTCATTCATCACAACCTGATTGTTGTGACTTTTCAAAGAAGATCTATAAAACTGCGTACCATCACTTTGGTTGTTCATCTCAGTACATACACTGTTCACTAGTCACTGGTACGATACAGAATAGAGTGGATGTAATTCTCTACTTGGATATGTATTTAATACTTACCAATATGAAAAAAAGGTTTCAAAATCATGCAGTCGTAATTTCTTCGCTTAAGCTATATATGTCTGCACTACTTCATTAATAAAGAGCACTTTCTGACTACCTTTGTTCGTTTTCATTCTTACCTTCAAGATCACGTGTACGCTATTGTCTAATCTGTTTTACAAGATTTTTTTACACCTACAAAATTCAAGTCGAGGCTGTATTTGGCTGAGAATACCATCTGTACTTTAAGAGTTTAAAAGAGAATTTGTGTGAGATATGTGCGCTTTAGGAATTCTATAGAAAATGTGTGTGAGTATCCTGTACACTTTAGAGATTTGATAGGAAATTTATGTGAGAATGTCCTATATACTGGCGAGACTATAGTTTTAGAGAGAGAATTTGGGTAAATTTGGGTAAATTTCCAATATATTGGTAGAGACATCATTTCCCGACGGAATATTCGTTTGAGAATGTTCTACTTACTTAACAGACATGATGAGACGGAGAATTTGTGTCAGAATTTCCTATATACCGGAGGAACATTGCGTCAGATAATCTTCGTGAAAATATCTTTTATACTGGAGAAACTTAAGTTTGAGACAGAATATTAGTTTGAGAAATCCTACATACTGCAGTCATTTTATTTGGACACAGTTTATTTCTGAGATAATATCCATTGTACTTGAGAGACTTTAATTTAAGACAAAATGTTTGTGTGAAAATATCCTATAAACAGGAAATACACTTCATTACCCGGCGGAATATTTGTCTCAGAATATTTTTCATACTGGAGGATCTCGATGAGACAAGACTATGTGTTAAAATATAACGCGGAGAGTTTTAATTGGGACGGAATATTTCTCAGCATGTCCTGTATACTAGAGAGACTCTAGTTTGAGACAGGATGTGTGTCAGAATATCTTATACTCTGGACAGACTTCAGTGCGAGTCATAATAATTGTACCAGAATGTGCAATGTACAAGTACTTTTCTCCTAACAAATACCTTAGTTATTCCTAAATAATACCCTGGCTATGCCTCAATAACACCCTGGTTACACCTAAATTATACCCCGGTTACACCTCAATAATACCCTGTTTATTCCTCAATAACACCCTGGTTACACCTCAATAATTCCCAGGTTAATCCTCAATAACACCCTGGTTACACCTCAATAACACCCTGGTTACACCTCAATAATACCCTGGTTACTCCTCAATAATACCTTGGTTACTCCTCAATAATACCCTGGTTAATCCTCAATAATACCTTGGTTACTCCTCAATAATACCCTGGTTACACCTCAATAATACCCTGGTTACACCTCAATAATACCCCGGTTACACCTCAATAATACCCTGGTTAATCCTCAATAATACCCTGGTTAATCCTCAATAATACCCTGGTTACACCTCAATAACACCATGGTTACACCTCAATAATACCCCGGTTACACCTCAATAATACCCCGGTTACACCTCAATAATACCCTGGTTACACCTCAATAATACCCCGGTTACACCTCAATAATACCCTGGTTACTCCTTAATAATTCCTTGGTTACTCCTCAATACCCTGGTTACACCTCAATAACACCCTGGTTACTCCTCAATAATACCCTGGTTACTCCTCAATAATACCCTGGTTAATCCTCAATAATACCCAGGTTAATCCTCAATAATACACTGGTTACACCTCAATAATACCTTGGTTACTCCTCAATACCCTGGTTACACCTCAATAACACCCTGGTTACTCCTCAATAATACCCTGGTTACTCCTCAATAATACCCTGGTTACACCTCAATAACACCCTGGTTACACCTCAATAATACCCTGGTTACACCTCGATAATTCCTCGGTTACACCTCAATAATTCCTTGGTTACTCTTCTATAATACCCTGGTTACTCCTCAATAATACCTTGGTTACTCCTCAATAATACCTTGGTTACATCGCAATAATATCCTGGTTACACCTCAATAATACCCTGGTTACTCCTCAATAATACCCTGGTTACTCCTCTATAATACCCTGGTTACTCCTCAATAATACCTTGGTTACTCCTCATAAATACCCTGGTTACTCCTCAATAATACCCCGGTTACACCTCAATAATACCCCGGTTACACCTCAATAATAACCTGGTTATTCCTCAATAACACCCTGGTTACACCTCAATAATACCCTGGTTACTCCTCAATAATACCCCGGTTACACCTCAATAATAACCTGGTTATTCCTCAATAACACCCTGGTTGCATATCAATAATACCCCGGTTACACCTCAATTATACAATGGTTACTCCTCTATAATTCCCCAGTTACACCTCAATAATACCCCGGTTAATTCTCAATAATACCCTGGTTACTCCTCAATAATACCTTGGTTACTCCTCAATAATACCCTGGTTACTCCTCAATAATACCCTGGTTACTCCTTAATAATACCCTGTTACACCTCAATAATACCCTGGTTACTCCTCAATAATACCCTGGTTACACCTCAATAATACCCTGGTTACACCTCAATAATTCCTCGGTTACACCTCAATAATACCCTGGTTACTCCTCAATAATAACGTGGTAACTTCCTGATAATGCCTGTCCTTTTATACTGAAATAACAGCAATAACTTAATATTAATAGTCATATATTTTATTGTAATGTCAATATTATAAATTCAGAACAAGAACATGAAACATCATTGTAGCCACACATTTCCTCTTATTTTCAATATTTTGCCAAACAGCAAAAGGGAGATAACCTGAGAATAAGTTTCTCCATCACAAAAGCCTGGGATAATATATAGAGGCTTCAATGGCTTCATTACTATTTCAGCAACACATGCAGGTAACGAAAGATCACAGTCTGATCTCATAGGGGTGAACATCTCAATATGGAGTTAAGTCTATGTAAAAAAAACCAGATAATTCCCAACACTAGGTCAGTTCTCTGTTGTACAAATAACTCCCCAACACTGGGTTAATTCTGTCATACACAGATAACTCCCCAACACTGGGTTAATTCTCTGTCATACACAGATAACTCCCCAATACTGGGTTAATTCTGTCATACACAGATAACTCCCCAACACTGGGTTAATTCTCTGTCATACACAGATAACTCCCCAATACTGGGTTAATTCTGTCATACACAGATACCTCCCCAATGCTGGGTTAATTCTCTGTCATACACAGATACCTCCCCAATACTGGGTTAATTCTGTCATACACAGATAACTCCCCAATACTGGGTTAATTCTCTGTCATACACAGATACCTCCCCAATACTGGGTTAATTCTGTCATACACAGATAACTCCCCAACACAGTGGTAATTCTCTGTCATACACAGATACCTCCCCAACACTGGGTTAATTCTGTCATACACAGATAACTCCCCAATACTGGGTTAATTCTCTGTCATACACAGATACCTCCCCAATACTGGGTTAATTCTGTCATACACAGATTACTCCCCAACACTGGGTTAATTCTGTCATACACAGATACCTCCCCAATACTGGGTTAATTCTGTCATACACAGATACCTCCCCAATACTGGGTTAATTCTGTCATACACAGATTACTCCCCAACACTGGGTTAATTCTGTCATACACAGATACCTCCCCAACACTGGGTTAATTCTGTCATACACAGATACCTCCCCAACACTGGGTTAATTCTGTCATACACAGATAACTCCCCAACACTGGGTTAATTCTGTCATACACAGATACCTCCCCAATACTGGGTTAATTCTCTGTCATACACAGATAACTCTCCCAACACTGGGTTAATTCTCTGTCATACACAGATACCTCCCCAATACTGGGTTAATTCTGTCATACACAGATAACTCCCCAACACAGTGGTAATTCTCTGTCATACACAGATAACTCCCCAACACTGGGTTAATTCTGTCATACACAGATAACTCTCCCAACACTGGGTTAATTCTCTGCCATACACAGATAACTCTCCCAACACTGGGTTAATTCTCTGTCATACACAGATAACTCCCCCAACACTGGGTTAATTCTGTCATACACAGATAACTCCCCAACACAGTGGTAATTCTGCTTCGTAAACAAATGGCTCCCTGCTGATGAAGTCTGATTATAACAACCCGGTCCTTAAGCAACCAAACAGCAAAAAATCACATCATTGATATTGCATGATTTCAGACATTTGGTTCATTCTAGTCGGAAGCAATGTGCAGTATTACAAAATAGTATTATTTACAATATATGGATGAATAACTGTACATAATAATGAGACTATCAATTGGTAGATTTTCCCATGACGGTAAAAAATAGCTATAAAACAAATTGATCCATAATCTTAATCGTATCTATTATAAAGATAATTGGACAAGAATGACATTAAAAAAGTACTTAAGTATATACATAGTTATATGGTACACATAGTCAGGGTTATTGTCCATGTAAATACAAATTTATACATTCAAATTCAATTCATTAATTTCCAAAAATATTTCTTCACATTACCAGAAATAAACTTCTCAATGGAAGTATTGGCTTCATGTTGTGTCTTCTTCCCAACATTACACCTTTCTACTAGAGATAAGTTGGGGCATTACAGAAATATCTCTCACACCTGTAGACTGATACTGTTCAGTACACATAAGTCAGGGCAGTACAGAGATATCTCTCACACCTGTAGACTGATACTGTTCAGTACACATAAGTCAGGGCAGTACAGAGATATCTCTCACACCTGTAGACTGATACTGTTCAGTACACATAAGTCAGGGCAGTACAGAGATATCTCTCACACCTGTAGACTGATACTGTTCAGTACTCAACAGTCGGGGCAGTACAGAGATATCTCTCACACCTGTAGACTGATACTGTTCAGTGCTCAACAGTCGAGGCATTACAGAAATATCTCTCACACCTGTAGACTGATACTGTTCAGTACACATAAGTCAGGGCAGTACAGAGATATCTCTCACACCTGTAGACTGATACTGTTCAGTACACATAAGTCAGGGCAGTACAGAGATATCTCTCACACCTGTAGACTGATACTGTTCAGTACACATAAGTCAGGGCAGTACAGAGATATCTCTCACACCTGTAGACTGATACTGTTCAGTACTCAACAGTCGGGGCAGTACAGAGATATCTCTCACACCTGTAGACTGATACTGTTCAGTGCTCAACAGTCGAGGCAGTACAGAAATATCTCTCACACCTGTAGACTGATACTGTTCAGTACACAACAATCGGGGCAGTACAGAGATATCTCTCACACCTGTAGACAGATGCTGTTCAGTACACATAAGTCAGGGCATTACAGTATCTCTCACCCCCGCAGTACAGAGATATCTCTCACACCTGTAGACTGATACTGTTCAGTACACAACAGTCGGGGCATTACAGAAATATCTCTCACACCTGTAGACAGATGCTGTTTAGTACTCAACAGTCGAGGCAGTACAGAGATATCTCTCACACCTGTAGACTGATACTGTTCAGTACACATAAGTTAGGGCAGTACAGAGATATCTCTCACACCTGTAGACAGATGCTGTTAAGTACACATCAGTCGGGGCAGAACAGAGATATCTCTCACACCTGTAGACTGATACTGTTCAGTACACATCAGTCGGGGCAGTACAGAGATATCTCTCACACCTGTAGACAGATGCTGTACAGTACACATCAGTCAGGGCAGTACAGAGTTATCTCTCACCCCTGTAGACAGATGCTGTTCAGTACACATCAGTCGGGGCAGTACAGAAATATCTCTCACACCTGTAGACTGATACTGTTCAGTACTCAACAGTCGAGGCAGTACAGAGATATCTCTCACACCTGTAGACTGATACTGTTCAGTACACATAAGTTAGGGCAGTACAGAGATATCTCTCACACCTGTAGACAGATGCTGTTTAGTACACATCAGTCGGGGCAGTACAGAGATATCTCTCACACCTGTAGACTGATACTGTTCAGTACTCAACAGTCGAGGCAGTACAGAGATATCTCTCACACCTGTAGACTGATACTGTTCAGTACACATAAGTCGGGGCAGTACAGAAATATCTCTCACACCTGTAGACAGATGCTGTTCAGTACACATCAGTCGGGGCAGAACAGAGATATCTCTCACACCTGTAGACTGATATTGTTCAGTACACATCAGTCGGGGCAGTACAGAGATATCTCTCACACCTGTAGACAGATGCTGTACAGTACACATCAGTCAGGGCAGTACAGAGTTATCTCTCACCCCTGTAGACAGATGCTTTAAGTACACATCAGTCGGGGCAGTACAGAAATATCTCTCACACCTGCAGACTGTCAGCAATTTGATGTCCCGACTAGGAGAAACAAATTGATGCCCCAACTAGGAAATGAAAGCTGACCCATTTTAGAGATTTTTAAACTGAAAATTCAATAAAAAAACAATACAGAACATATTCCATAAAACAGAAAATGGACCATCCTGTTGGACACTGCTATTTACCTTATAACTAGGAATTTAAAGTTCGAAAGGTTTTTGTTACTAAGTAAACTGTGATGTCCAGAGACTACTGAGCAGAGATTCTGTCAAGTAATTGATAAATGGTCCTTTTCAAATTAAATTGGGGTACTTTTTAAAATTTCGAATGGAATTCCAGAAAATTGCTGGGATGAAAACCGTGTTTGTCTCAGTATGTCTCAGTAACATTGGCTTAATTTTTTTTCTATCATCAGTGTCATCAAGGAACACATATAAATAAGATGGCATGGACTTGTGACTGGTTCTCATTGTTTATAAAAAAACACAAATCATGGTGTCACATACATTTTGACAGCACACAAAAACAGCAGAGTAAAAAAATTGCCTGTTTAAATTCATATCAACTCAAGAAAACTGTTTAAAAAAAGTAAGAGAATCTTCCATTTGTTTTCATTTAACATAGATTCAAGTTTTTTTCTCTCATGTGTCTACACACTTGATTAGGTGAGAGGGTAATATTGTGACTCTGTTGTACTTTGAGCACAGGTAGAAACAGAAATGCCTTATATATATAAAACTACAATTAAACATATCAAAAGTTCTGTAATAAGTATTCTTGGAATACATAGCAGCTGTCTCTGACCCAGCCGACTTGAACAAGGGTAAAATCTGGATCATCAGTGGCGATAAGCACTGCTAGCCCAAATGATAGCTACTTACTGATCACAGACACAAGGAAAGACCCCACAGGTAAGGGAGGTAACCTCTTCAGGTAATGGAGGTAACCTCTTCAGGCAATTACAGTAAACATTCATCCCGGCCTAACTGTGCAGTAAGTAAATGGGGAAATGGTACCCATGGCTAGTCTATCATCACTTCACTATGATTTCAAAATATCTAAAATATAACGAAATGACGGAGGAAATTTCTAGTGAAAAATGAAAATTGTAGGTTTCAATTCAGATCCACCAATACAGCACCAGATTCCCTAGCTATACAGATGTAAGGAAGGTGAAGACGTATCCTATAAAATCCTACTACTTTACTAATCATTTGCTGTAATAACGATGTGACGAAACACAAGGGGTTCACAAACTATGAAGACATACTAGTATCAAATCAATGTACAATATTATCAAGGCATTACATATATATATATATATATGTATATATATATATATATTATTATCATTATATAAAGTTAATGTTATCTCTAATCAATATAGCAAAAATAGTCTTTGCCTCTTGTGCTATGTACAATGATTTATAATAACAGACTTCATTTTTCATAAACTGTTTACTTTTAAAACAAGTATGACATATTTCGGTATCAACCCTGCTAAAGCAGATTCTGTTTATTGACTGAGCTAATCTCAAGCTTTCATCTAGATCTGAAAATCCACTGTTTTTGCATCGTAAAATATATAAATAAAAGAAACGCTGTATACTAAAGCTACTGAATGGAGTCAACACTTGAATTGAAAAAAAATCACTGAATTGTAGGACGTCCAAAGGAACACAAAATATCCAAAGCCTTATTTTAGTCATTGGTGGCTACTTCACTGATCATCATGAGGGAGGCCCGTCACATGCTATATCCAGAGCAAGTTGAGTCAAATGTTTCGATACAATGTCGTCAGCACAGGATGATAATTAGCCTCAGCTTCTCTATTACATAAGGAACTAAACAGGACTGATCAATTGATTATTAAAGTTAGTTAATAAAGGTCAAAGGTAAAAATCAGGTAAAAGAAATGCCAGTAAAAATAAAATATAAGACGAATATATTCCTTCACCAGTGGATAAAATATGAATAAGTTAATAATTCTTAAGAATTCCTTGTAATCAATTATAGAACACAATTCACAGTCAGACTACTATTAAGTTATATATGTTTCAACACACTTTATATGTTGTTTAACATCTTTGTAATTAAACCAAGAAATAGTATTCCCTTTTTTGTTCTGAAACTGTCTTTAAAATGATGTAAACAACCTAGTTGCCAAATTGTGGACACTTAACAGTAAATGTCACAGGCTGATAACATCTTCCTTTTCCTCATCAAAAGCTACCAGGGACTGCCTCCTCATCCTCTTCAAAACCTTCTACCTCCTCTTCTTAACAATCCTACTGCCTCCTTTTCTTCTCCTAAACCTCCTGCCACACTTTCCTCTACAAAACTTACCAGTTTCCTTTTTACTCTACAGAATTTACTAGCTCCATATTTCCTCCATAAAACCTTTCACCTCTTCTTCCTTAAAAACACCAACTACCTCCTCTTCCTATACAACCTACTGGCTCCTCTTCCTATAGAAAACAAGCCATGTCCTCTTCCCCGACTGACAGTACTCTCTTCTTTTCCTCTACAAAACTTACTTTCTCCTTTCCTCTACAAAGTTTACTTGTTCTTTTTCCTCTACAAATTTTACTTTCTCCTTTTCCTCTACAAAACTTAACTGTTTCCTTTTCCCCAACTAAACCTATGGTCTCCTGAACTCTAAAACTTTCACTTTCAATTAGCATTAAATATTTCGTAATCCCTGATATGATTCATATTTGATATCCTAGATTTTAACTTTGGAAATCTAAGCTATAAAATGTACATCATATAAAGTGTTAAATACTTCACGTATCAAATGCACAGTATTTTCATGAGCAATTCTTGCTATCACTAGTCACTATAACCTTTCATTACCTGTGATTACTTTGGCAGTCAGTAAACTGCCAAATAGACTTATAATGTGTATCCCGATTAGAGTCAATGTTCGCAGATACCATTATTAAATGTAACCTCAATCAACTGTATATCACAACAATATTCAGGATGCTTATGCAGCATAATCGGTTTCAGCAAGTTAACTGCACCTGTGATTTTTTTACATCATGTACACTGCACCTGTGATTTTTTTACATTATGTACACTGCACCTGTGATTTCTTATACTTGGTACACTATCTCTTTCACTCAACCCAAATCCATGTGATTTGCTTTGCTTGAACATGTGATTGGTTTTAAACACAACTGTTTTTGTGACCTTTACTAGATAACCTTTGAACCCATCTGACCCAATATCAGAGCTTTTCATTCTTAAGGATTGTATCCTAGACTCCATTCATACTTTTACTGAAACTACATTTCAACTGTTTTAATTTTTAATCTTTGACCTTGGACAACTAACTGTGTGAGAAGGTCCCCGCACCAAAATCTAGCTGCCAACCAATGGAGGAGGTAGAAAAAAAGAGGGTCAAAGGGAGACAACTCTGCAACACATGACAACAAAGAGAACTTCAGAAATGATGCAGGACGAAGAAGATGTGCAGAAATATTCATGACCTATACAATAAATTATTCATGCATTTTTTTTATGAATCATTTAAATATTAGTTCTGATGACCAGAAACAACAGGAAAAGCATGTAGACCTTAAGATTAATACATATTAATTGCAGGTTATTGAGGAAGCAGCGCAGGGGATATTCAAACGAACGGTCATGACAAGTAAATACCATAGGTAAACAAGTATAGGTAAACAAGTATATACCACAGGTAACATTCAACTCTTCATATCTACAAAAAAAAATCTACAGGTTACTAAAATTCTCTGAACAATAGAACATTAATGCCATTTTAATTAACATTGATTGCAGTATTTTTAAGAAAAAGTTTTTAAATGAATAAATGAATTCATTTTCAAAGAATTAAAAATATCTTAATAGGACAATTTCACCCACTTTAACCAAGCTGAATATTTCCTGAACATCTGTAATCCACTAAAATGACATGCATATAGAAACAGGGAGAATGAAAAACTTCAGGATATTTTAACCATTGGAGGCATGCACATTAATCTCTCATGGAGAATATATATACTGTATACACAAATATATACAGCTGTAGCTTGTAAGGCACTGTTATATAAACATTAGGGAACATGTTAACACTATAAGATGATACAGAAAAACGGACAGAGTGTCTACAACCGTGGTCAAAAGACACACAAACACAGGAACTCTGTATAACTGTGGTCCATAGACACACAAACACAGGAACTCTCTAAAACTGTGGTCCATAGACACACAAACACAGGAACCCTCTATAACTGTGGTCCATAGACACACAAACACAGGAACTCTCTAAAACTGTGGTCCATAGACACACAAACACAGGAACCCTCTATAACTGTGTTCCATAGACACACAAACACAGGAACCATCTATAACTGCAGTCCATAGACACACTAACACAGGAACCCTCTATAACTGTGGTCCATAGACACACAAACACAGGAACTCTTTAACTGTGGTCCATAGACACACAAACACAGAAACTCTCTATAACTGTGGTCCAAAGACACACAAACACAGGAACTCTTTAACTGTGGTCCATAGACACACAAACTCAGGAACTCTTTAACTGTGGTCCATAGACACACAAACACAGAAACTCTCTATAACTGTGGTCCAAAGACACACAAACACAGGAACTCTTTAACTGTGGTCCATAGACACACAAACACAGAAACTCTCTATAACTGTGGTCCATAGACACACAAACACAGGAACCCTCTATAACTGTGGTCCATAGACACACAAACACAGGAACCCTCTATAACTGTGGTCCATTGACACACAAACACAGGAACTCTGTATAACTGTGGTCCATAGACACACAAACACAGGAGCCCTCTATAACTGTGTTCCATAGACACACAAACACAGGAACTCTCTAAAACTGTGGTCCATAGACACACAATCACAGGAACCCTCTATAACTGTGGTCCATAGACACACAAACACAGAAACCCTCTATAACTGCAGTCCATAGACACACTAACACAGGAAGCCTTTATAACTGCAGTCCATAGACACACTAACACAGGTACTTTTTATAACTGTGTTCCATAGACACACCAACACAGGAACCCTTTATAACTGCAGTCCATAGACACACTAACACAGGTACTTTTTATAACTGTGTTCCATAGTCACACAAACATAGTAACTCTTTATAACTGTGATCCATAGACACACAAACACAGAAACTCTACAACTCCATATGCACAAACAATGCAAGAATTAACTGTGTTGCTAGGGCTTTACAAATAGATTATAAAAGTCACATTTCATGCTCCATCTTTCCTATTTTTGACTCTGTTCACACCATATGTCTCTTTCAGTGGAAATCTCACAGATATTCACATACTTACAGCACCTCCAATAAGTCATCTGTCCTTAATTAAAAAAATCAATCAAATAGAACTGATGAATGTAGGCAGATGTAAAACCTCGAGGAAACATTTTGAATGTACAATCAAACCTTGTTATCTTCAACTCAAGTAAGTCCCTGTTTACCGGTAATTAAAAGGTATTTCATCAGTCCCAGCCAAAAAGTTCATGCCAACATTTGAACTCCTCTATATCGAATTCTCCTATAACTTGAAATTTTTCCCATGGTCCCGCTGACTTTGAGATAACAGGGTTGGACTGTATCAGTATTGCTTTCAGTAGACACAATCATATGTCCTATTTATACATCCTTCTATCATCCTCACACTCACCAACCAGTGACCTTGGTGAAACAACCACCATTCCCTAAACAAATCCTAAGTAGAGAAAAGAGCTTCGTATGAATGAATCTAAGTTACAGTTCCATAATTATCATTTAAAAATTGATTTTTGGCATTCAACAGGATAACAAAACAAGAAATTCTCACATATGGCCGTCTATATCTTAGGTGGGCAGTTTATGTCCATCACAAATGGCAATCCATCAAAGCTAGGCAGTGTCTGTTCTTTATATCTATGACTTTCCATTTCACAGCTTGACAGTTTCTGTCCACGAGAAAAGGCTGTCCATTTCTCTGGTAGGCAGATTCTGTTCATTACAAACGTATGTCGAATTCAAGTGGGCTGTTTCTATCCATAATAAAAGGCAGTCCATTCCTCAGACAAATAGCTGTCCATTTCTCAGGTTTACAGTCTCTATTATAAAATGCTGTCCATTTCTCAGGTTTACAGTTTCTATTATAAAATGCTGTCCATTTCTCAGGTTTACAGTTTCTATTATAAAATGCTGTCCATTTCTCAGGTTTACAGTTTCTATTATAAAATGCTGTCCATTTCTCAGGTTTACAGTTTCTATTATAAAATGACGTCCATATCTCAGGTAGACAGTTTCTATTATAAAATGATGTCCATTTCTCAGGACAGTTTCTGTCCATCACAACATGAGAAATGTTGTACCTGTATTGTAAGCTAGTTCCCTTAACTTGAGAATGTGTTTGTCAAGATCTCTGTCACAAATGTCAGAAATATTCTAGATTTTTTTAGTCAAGATTTAGCCAAGAAATATACACATTTCTACCAAAAAAATATTTTTTTTTTAAATTCTCACTGCTTTATACTGATCTTAAATTTTACACAAGATGGAAAATTGTTTTAATATGAGAAGTCAGGGATCCTGCGAAAGAAGTGAACTACATATAACGAATTGTATAAATGCTGATTTTGGTTCTTTTGCAAAAACAAGTAGTTGATTAATTTTTATCTCTCTGAAATCAATTTTTGTATTCATACAGACAAAGCCTAGAGGATCCCAACTTGTGTTGATATTTTAACATTACATCCGTCTTACATTATCAGAAAACCATGTCTAACATTACTTTATGGAAGATACCTATATCAATATTGAGTAAAATGGTTGAAATCTGAGAATACATCCTTATAACTTCACCCAAGTCAAACACAGGTACAAAGCAGTTATCATAACGTACCAATAATCAATTCTATCAGCATCTGAATCCAAGCTTAATCCAGTTGGTACCATTCTGCTATCAAGGTTTAAGAAACATCATTTCTGTGGGTGACAATATCCGCCTTCAAAGTTAAAGAAACGAAACAGTAGCCCTGTAGGTAACAATATCTGCCTTCAAAGACAAAGAAATACACATCCCTTAGGTAACCATATTCTGCCTTCAAGGTTTAAGAAATTTTATCCCTGTAGGTGACAATATCCGCCTTCATAAATTATGAAATATGTATCCCTACCTGTCTTCACTTAAGTCAAGGAAATAACATCCCTGTTAATATTTTGCCTTCTCTTAAGTTAATACATTTACTGTCCCAGCCTCTTTGACATTCGTGCTAAACATTTTCTATGAAATGCCACTTGCTAGTATCTGATGAGAATTTTACATCCCACTAATTGATCTGCGAGATATCCGTACAGATCTGGTTAAGTGGCATTATAATCAGCACTATATACCAGGAATCAGTCATCACATTTAAATCTTATGGATAGAGTCTATTAATATAGTAACGCCACCCGTAACATGTACTATAGCTAGTAATAGGCCCCGTGGAATTCAAACCAGGGCTCTGTATTAAATGATAACAGAGACATCTCTCTGCTGATATTGAATACACTGGTGATGATGTTATTTTGCTATTCTTTGATGCCTATTTGTTTTAAAACACAAAATCACAACCTCAAAACTACATGTGACCAGAAGCTGGCAGTCCCTGCTGCAATCTGAAAACTCCTCATAGAAATGTCTTTTCTGTCTACTGTTCCATTGAGGTCAACTTTGCATATTTTAAATATAAAAAGGTCAAATGAATGCTCATCACTGCGAAGTCAAGACCTTGAAAGTTTGGTTAAGGTTGCCATGACCTTGACCTTGAGGTCCATGAAGCCACTACTATGATGAATCTGTGTTGGTTGTGTTAGCATTCTGAAGCAGTGTATAGACACTATCCACCTTAGATAGACCTTCAAAGAACGGTATTAAATCCATCAGTTCTGTGTCGGTCATATCATCAAACCACGACTGCACAGGTACCTACAAGTAACCAAGTAATATTAACATATTGCTAATCAATACAAATTAAATTTTTAAAAAAAAGCTTACTTGAATATTTGCAAAATCTGACAAGAATTACATACTATAAATTGCAAAATAAACTCTAAATTTGAGACTCCATCCCCCTCTCTTCTTCCCTCCACCAAACAAAATATCAGGTAAAGTTTTGATTAATATATACATCATACATATGACATGAAAAGAATTTGTGAATTCTTTATTTCTCAAAATTGATTAAAATATGGTATTTCTACCCCAATATCTCTATTCAAATGTTGGGAAGGGAAAACTCCTCTAATTTTAAAACACTAGTTTTCATGTGACTATAAACTCATCTGAAGTAAATAGAATAAGCCATCAGGACTTTGTAAACATCACTCATTATCTGAAGTTTTTGTCCAGAAATATTCACCAAGAAAGATCACAGAGGGATCCTGGCACCTACCATTAATTCATCTTAATTTTCTTCTTTAAAAGTTGGATCTTTTCCCTACTTTTCTCTTCTATCCTATTTTTACTCTTGGTTATACAATTATTGTTTAAAATCTCACAAAAAATAACAATAATAATCTTTCACTGGCAAATTCAAGATGGTCGTCTGTCGGCCATTTTGTTTTCCCTGATTGGTCTCAAAATCCAAAGGGCAAAACGAAGGAATCAGAGTAACCTACATGTAGCCCTAGTATTTACCAGGGTTACCTACATAATGAAGTTTTATAAAGATTCATTCTGCATTTCTAAAAAAAAAAAGGGAAAACTAATGTAATTGTCAAAATCCAAGATGGCTATCTGTTGGCCAATGTTGTTTTCTTGAGTAGTTTAAATTAACTGAGCACAACTAGGGACCAAGGGGTACCTACCTATGAACTTGAAGATATATCATTGCAATACTATTTAAGAAATAAGGATAAGAAGAATAATTCACAAATGGACAGCAGATGTATGGCAATTTTCTTGAATACCTAATGATGATGAGTTGAAAAATAAAATTCTTCTAATTTATCTGGTGAGTTCAGATGTTCATACTGCATTCCAACTATATTCCAGGAATGACAAAAATAACACTTGTATTTAATATCACATTGCCATAGGGAATGATTACGTAACTCAAAATCTGCTGTCTTACAGTCATTGTACACTTAACATATACAGGTATCACTGAGTAACTTACAGCGTTGTCTGGATGGAAGATGTAAGATGCTGGGGAATTGTCGATGATTACCACCTGGTCCAAGTCTCTCCCCAGTCGGCTCAAGTCCTGTAAAACAACAACAAGTGTACAGTTGAGTTAATGAACACTCGGCACCAAAAATTCCGGTTTTGCTGGAGAGTTTAATATCTAGGTAATTGTAAATCCATCACATCATCAAGCATTTCCAGTAACATTCAGAAATGAACAAATAGCTTGCTAAAAGTTATAAAAAGATGTAGAAATTTCAAATTTCAGTAATTTTTTAAAAAATATTCAAATTTTCATTGCCAAATTGCAAGATGGCCACTTGTCAGCCATTTTATTTTTCTGATCAGTCCAAAAATCAAAAGGGCACAACTAAAGACCAAAAGGAACATTGTATGAAATTTGGGAAAGATCCATCCTGAACTTCTACAGATGTAGCAATAACAAACTTTGACTATCAAAAACCAAGAAGGCCGCCTGTCAGACAATTTTTTTTCCTTATCAGTCCCAAAAGAAAATATGCGCAACTTGGGTCAAAGTGAAACTTATATAGAGATGTTTCAGAATGATCCATCAAATACCTCTCCAGAAACAGTAAAAATCAAGATGGCTGCCTGTAGACTTTTTTGTTTGTTGATACCATCAGTCCTAAAATGGACTTTGCACAACTAGAGCCCAAGGCATACCTACTTTTGAAATTTAAGAACAAGCTTGTGAAAAAACTTAAACAGAAATGGTGATAATAATCTATGGCGATCAAAAACTAAGATCTTGTCTTTCCGACCAGTCTTAAAATGGAAAATGTACAACCATCTGATGATGGTAGGCTAAAGGATACGTGTGTGAATAGCATGTCTCAAAACAACTTCAGAATCAGGTACAGTATAGTCGAATAATGAAAAAAAATTCATCATACAACTGTTTTGTCTATCTAACACTCATCAGTAAAGCAAAGAGTCTAAATTTTGAAACAATTCACAGAAAATAATGCAAAAATCTATGTTTAAACTATTCAAACTCTCTCTCAATTTTTCCTTAACTGATTGCCACAAATGATTTAATATTTCTGTTAGGTATTAACATGGGAAATTTTATAATGTCATGATGGGGTGTGTCTACCTTGACATAGTTGCCCCGATGAAAGACACAGGATTCCCTGAAAAGGCGAGCCCGGAATACACCCCATTTATCCAAGAGGTCCGCCACTGGATCTGCATACTGCAACACAGATAAAAAATACATCTAATTTTATGATCACAAAAAACATGGAAGAATACACAGACATTAAAATAAATTTTTCCCAAAATGGTTGCTAAATTGGATTTGGACAGATCCGAAAAATAATGACACTTTGTTAGAACGATGTCAGGATCAGTTTAGGTGATGTCAACTGAATCCCATTGGTGGAACATGAGAAGATTAAAACCTTTAAAGTTTACATTCAGCACACAACCACAGACACAAAACAATGACAATACAATGTAGGTCATCTGAACTAAAAATAAACAAATTATGCTCAAAAACGTAAATATCCTATTATTGTAAACTTACCCCCCCCCATGGAGGAAATGCGACACCCTGAAGCCATGAAATGTATCGTTTTAGTTAATCCCCTTTAGAACCTTCTATCCATGGAAAAGTATTTTATTCTACCATACCTTATTTGGGCATTGAGGAGATTTTTGAAATTCAATCAATTACCCATTTTCTGGCCCTGCCAATCAGCCTCTGGGGGTCAGTAAGGGTCAATAAGTGCATATCATCAACCTTTCATCAACTACTAACAATTCTAACAATGTTTGCTTTATGTTAAATAGAAATTATGCAAAATTATGCTCCAAAATATAAACTATAGTAAACTTTACCTTTGCTAAACTGGCTGTGAACAGTACACATTCAAACATTTCGCCCATTTTTTTCAGGAATTCATCAACATAAGGCCTCTTTAGAACATACACCTGCAAAAGACAAACACATGCTGAGGTGTCTACAAACAGAAAAAACATTTTGATCTGCATAAACATAGCCAAACAATGATATATAGAAAATGCAGCCTCTACTTAAACACTGGGTTAAACACAGCATCCATTGTCATCACTCCAGCAAGTTCCAGTGTACAATCACATTTGATCCATCAGAATAGTTCTTAAATTTTTAAGACATGAAGACAAGTTCGTTAGAAATTTACACTTACCTGGTGTACTGTTCCCTCTATTTCAACAGGAACTATGAAGTCTGCGTTATTAATAGGCTGAAACAAATCAGAGAACATTTCAATACATCAGTCAAAACAATTCTTATATTACACTCACTATACCCTGCACATAATAACTGACATTCCTCACCAACAGAAATCATTTAATCATTTTCACATTATGATTTGCTACTTTCAAGAAAAATTGATACATAATGCCTTGATGTGTTGGCTATTTAGCACAGATTTCAATCATCTATTTTAGTCCTACAATTAGTATTGAGAGTACAAAGTGTAAAGTGGGAGTATAAAGCATCCCCATTTGACCACAAAAGACTAACCTTAAATGAGCTGTAGACTAGTGTCCTGACCTATGACTGACTAACTTTAATGAGTTGTAGACTAGTGTCTTATCCAAGTCTAAGACTGACTAACTTTTGCTGAGCTTTGGACTAGTGTTTCATTTAGGCTGATGATTGATTAACCTTAACTGAGCTGTAGATTACTTATAGGCAGTGTCTCAAAAATGAGCTGTGGACTAGTGTCCAGGTCTATGACTGACTAACCTTAAATGAGCTGTAGACTAGTGTCTAGGTCTATGACTGACTAACCTTAAATGAGCTGTGGACTAGTGTCTAGGTCTATGACTGACTAACCTTAAATGAGCTGTAGACTAGTGCCCTTACCTATGACTGACTAACCTTAAATGAGCTGTTGACTAGCGTCCAGGTCTATGACTGACTAACCTTAAATGAGCTGTGGACTAGTGTCTCGTCCAGGTCTATTACAACACATTTCCTGCTCATATCCTGGTGCCGCACCTGAGACAGCAGATATTTCTCAGGAGGTGCCTGTAAAAGTACATAATGCATTTAGTACACTATTTGCCATGCTTGAATATTTTCTCAATGCTGTCATGAAGGTAAAATCCAGGATCTCCTCACACACTAAAGCTGTTCAGTTTAAAGAGAAGTTCCCCCTTACCTTCTCACCAATTCAATTGGGTCCAAGGATTTAAATTTCCCAGATACAAATAACAAAATCTTACATAAAGGTAATATGATTTGATTACAATATCACTATAGCTGTATTTCCTTCCTGTACAAGTTCATACATACACTTTACCAAACAATAACACAGACATCTGAACTCTGAACCAACTGTCAAAAAATGGGACAGTCCCATCAAAATTTTTTTGACAAATTTTTAAATTAGCATTTTTTGAGCTTGGAAAAAATATAAAGCTTTTGTATACTGGAAATATGTAGCACATACATATACATCTGGCCCCAAATTCTACTTGAAAAAAGCCTTGTATTTAGTATAAACCAGACGTAGGTATACATACCCTGGGGTTGCCATTCTCCTCCACCACAGGCACCTGACAGGTAGACTGAGGATTGTTGTTATTGGTTGTACCAAAACAGCAGAAAAAAGAACTGAATATTCCTCGATTTCTAGGCTTCTTCATGGCATTATTATTGGCATTGTTCGCCGGCGTGCCTGGAAAAAAAAAAAGAAGTGTTCAAAGATGATTCTTACTGTGCAAAGATAGAGTTCACAAAGTGCTGGTGATGTAAATAGATAATTAATAATCATATATTTTCTTAATGCTGTTATCCTCAATACAACTGCCTAGATGTCATCCTCACAAACCTTTCATAAAACCTGGTTTCATGTGATTTGTCAGGAAGCCACATGCTACAAACGATAATTACATTTAGAAAATTCACACTTTGTTCTAAAAATAAACATCTTAATTTTGAAATGATTACAGAAGACTTGAATCAATATTAATTACTCCAGCTGGCTTAAAAGGACATAAATATACACAGGGTACTACTGTCAATATTGCAGTGCCCAGGAAAAAATGACCCATGTACATTTTGATATCTGATCTGGAAATTGAACCCTAGATGTCTAGGTAAATGACAATGTTACACCACTGAACCACCTAACCATTTCTATCAGCTGTTTGACTAATATACAAACATCCTTAGACAATAGGTTGTGTGAGATGTGTAATTTACCAGGCTTTACACAGTGACATATCCACTTGACCAGTTTCTCCACCTCCTGTAAAATACCACAACAACATCCAATTCCCTCCATGACAGATGAGGGCTTTAATGGTACAGTGTTATTCCTTTCACTAGCGTTTCCCACATTTTTAACCTGAACAATAGTCTACACACAGATCACATGACAGAATCCAATGTAATGCATAAAGCCTGAAACCAAAATGTACACAGATGTCTGGTAGTGTTTCTGTTCGATGCACACATGCCAAAGCATGATTTAAAACACTACCAAAATCAATATCCTTATTTCAGGGAGGAAAATTTGCTTGCTGTTTGTCTCCTTAAGCAGTGAGTTGACTCAAGCAGACAAATTCAAGCTTTAAAATCCATACAAATAGTCTTAACAAAGACGAGAAGATTTTCAGCAAGGACAGATCTCACATTCTGTCAGTTGGGTAGCTCTACGTGGCTCTCACATTTCCTCCTATGCTTTGTAAAAATTGATGTGCAAGAATAGTGCATCAAAATTGTATTTTCAAGAAAAGCAGTGTTAGATTTATATCATAAAGTTGCTGTGAACACAGAAATTTACACATCATTCCTTATATCACTACACAGTGGCATCAATGTTTACAACATACCAAATGTCAGATAAAATTGACCAATAAAAGTTGCTGTTACACTCAGTACCAGAGCCATTCAAATCAGCTGTTACATAGGACTTTTCAGGACTGTATTGACCAAACTTAAAGAATATTTGTTATGGGTGTTATACACTATTAATTCTTTCTTGTGTAGTCAATTCCTTAAGTCACAGCTACACAACAGCTGTGTCTTAAGGGATTTAAAACTTCAATCACCATCTGCTGCATCAAAATCCTGTCTAGAAAAGGTTAGAGGGAAATAACTCTTATTTAATGTTTTTGCAAGAATTGAAAGCTGTGAAGTTGGTATTGAACAATTGTATTTAGTGTTTGTAAGGGACTACGCTTGATCAGTCATAACTTCCTACAATCACTTCCTCAACTTTGACATAAAAAAGTAAACACTCTAAATAAACATGAAGAAGCTGATTTAATGAGAAGCTGATTTAAAATTGATTCTGTTCATCAGAACGACCACAGAAAATGCAACTACATGAGCACGTTGTGTATAATACAGGAACATAAATGCCACACAAGTGGAACAATATATGTCTACCACATTTTCTAATTGCAAACATTTGGATGATATTCCATCATATTTTTCAAAAATAACTATATTGTTCACATTTGTACAAATATGCTTTTTTCACAATTCAGTCCTATCTAGACTATTGACTGTTGTAGAGAATACATTTACAGGATACCTACCTGTTGTAGAAAAGGCAATGTATTAAGGAGTTATTTACCTGTTGTAGATGAGAGAATGTATTAAGGAGATATTTACCTGTTGTAGCTGAGAGAATGTATTAAGGAGATATTTACCTGTTGTAGCTGAGAGAATGTATTAAGGAGATATTTACCTGTTGTAGATGAATGCATTAAGGAGTTATTTACCTGTTGTAGCTGAGAGAATGTATTAAGGAGATATTTACCTGTTGTAGCTGAGAGAATGTATTAAGGAGATATTTACCTGTTGTAGATGAATGAATTAAGGAGATACTTACCTGTTGTAGATGAATGAATTAAGGAGTTACTTACCTGTTGTAGATGAATGAATTAAGGAGATACTTACCTGTTGTAGATGAATGAATATTTACCTGTTGTAGATGAAGGGAGATATTTACCTGTTGTAGCTGAGAGAATGTATTAAGGAGATATTTACCTGTTGTAGCTGAGAGAATGTATTAAGGAGATATTTACCTGTTGTAGCTGAGAGAATGTATTAAGGAGATATTTACCTGTTGTAGAGAATGAATTATTTAAGGAGATAAGGAGATATTACCTGTTGTAGATGAAGAATTAAGGAGATATTTAAGGAGATACTTACCTGTTGTAGATGAATGAATTAAGGAGTTATTTACCTGTTGTAGATGAATGAATTAAGGAGATACTTACCTGTTGTAGATGAATGAATTAAGGAGATACTTACCTGTTGTAGATGAATGAATTAAGGAGATACTTACCTGTTGTAGATGAATGTATTAAGGAGATACTTACCTTTTGTACATTATTGTCTACCTGTTTAGCAGATGTTTTCATGTATCACTCCCTCCCAAGCAGCCAAAATTTGCTATAGTGGGTAATATCACACACTTATCCCTGTCTGGTTTGTAACAGTCACTGTACCTCACTAGAATCCCAGTTACGCACAGAATGGCTGCAGTCTCACATAAGCCTTTGTGATTCAGCCATACAAAATCTCACTCTTTTTTATGTGTAATGTGACCAACCATTGGGTTAGCATCACTTACTATATGATGCACATACCTGCTCATCTATAAAGGAACGCTACTCTATTTTTACAACATTGAACTACATGTTACCCTAAATTTTATGGCTTCATTTCTTATACTTTCTAAAGTTAATATTCCCGTGATGTTTAATGTGTTTTCCATCTGTTTCCCACCTTTCCCTGGATATTCCCCATGTCTTGGGTATTTTTCAACTTTTCCTGGGTGTTCCCTGTTAGTGTTCCCCCACTTTCCCTGGGTGTTCCTTCTATCCTGAGTGTTTCCCCACTTTCCCTGGGTGTTCCCTCTATCCTGTGTGTTTCCCCACTTTCCCTGGGTGTTCCCTCTTTCCTGAGTGTTTCCCTACTTTCCCTGGGTGTTCCCTCTATCCTAAATGTTTTCCCACTTTCCCTGGGTGTTCCCTCTATCCTGAGTGTTTTCCCACTTTCCCTGGGTGTTCCCTCTATCCTGAATGTTTTGCCACTTTCCCTGGGTGTTGCCTCTATCCTGAATGTTTCCCCACTTTCCCTGGGTGTTCCCTCTATCCTGAATGTTTCCCCACTTTCCCTGGGTGTTCCCTCTATCCTGTGTGTATTCCTTGCCTCCATATTTTAAACTCTCACAATTAATGGATAGCAGATTAAAAACATTGAGATTACATGTGTACCAAAAGCGATGACTTGCTTACCCAATGTGTCTTTATGCAGAAACAATTAAAGATTATCATATTCTTAGGAAATATCCCTGGGATCATTATCCCCGAGTGAGGATAGCGCTGTCATGTAAAGATTGATAGAAGAATTTGATACATTTCCCCCACATCTGGTGTGTACCTGATCCAGCGTCTACAGATATACTACATCTGTTAGCTGTCCACATTCACTTCTTCTCACATGTCCAGACTTCCTTACTCTAGACGGCAATACATAATATTATCACATGACCCACGTGCCCCTAATACCACATCACTGATGTGTGTATTATATACATATATCACACACCAAGAGGTCCAACACCCCTGTAGTAATGGACACTGGAAAGTCCCTACCAAAATAAATTATTGTATAAAATGGTTGTTACCTTTATCATCAAACCATCACTCAACCGCTAATAAGATGGAACAAATATGAAACAAGTTATATTTCAAGTTGGATTAAAAAATATCCTGAAATATTGATGTCACACTAGTATCACTTACATTTTGAGGTAAACTTTGATGATACTGAACATTTAGATAATGAAGTAAAATCCTACATGGACCTGGTGTTGACAAGTCATGAAGGTATACATACCCAGGAGTAAATGAGCAGAATATGTTTTCTTTAAGTAGCAGATCAAGATATCAAAATGTAGTATTTCAGATAGCAGATGAATATATCTATTTTCTTTTATCAGAAAAATAGGTCTGATGAGCTAAATTATTGTACTTGTCACAACACAAGCAAAATAAACTCTCTTATATCTAGCACTCTATACAGAAAAATCTGTAATGCGGAATGTTCATAGATCGAAGGGCCACCATGATGAAGCTAGGAAAGGTCAAGGTCACAGAGACATGGTCAGTCACCTGTCAAAATCATTATTATTCTTCAGAAATACCTGATTAAGCAACAACACTTTTTGACCTGGGCTAGTTGTTTGATTCATCCAGCGGAGCATATGGAGATCGCATATATTTACATATGAGAATAGATGCATATTATGTGATAACCTATTGTGAACATCGACTAGCGTGTCCGATGACTGTTACTCAGCACTTACAGTATACCGACAGAGCTTTTGTGTTAGCAAACTTATACTAAATATAGAGTTTGTGTATATATTTGGAAGATATAGAGTTCTTGTGACTTTATTCTTTAATTTAACCATGGCAGCCAGCAGCGAGTCTCATGATCATGGCCAGAGCAAGACTTGTGGTGTTGGAATCAGTCAGACTATGAAATCGATGGATGATTGGTTTTGATGAGATCTATCTCATTTCAATGTCTTTGGCTACTCAAGAGCCTATGAATCAGACGCTGGAGAAACTTTAGATTGACATTCAGAGAGAGAATTTAAAACATATTGAGTTATTGGAGAACAGAATGTCACAACTTGAAAATCAAAAC